CCCGGAGTAGAGGGCGGGCCTGGGTTCCCCCCAAACCTCCCAATTGACCTGGACTGTGGGTTCTTCCAGAGGGGAAGGTCTCTGGGCTGTTCCCCCAAATCACATGGTGAATCTCTGAGGCAAGAAAATCCGCCAATAAGTGCAGTACCCACCAAGATAGAGGAGGAACTTTGTCTTAACACAGTAAAACACCGCCCAAATAGATGCAGCTGCAGCTTTCTAAGGGCCTGCCCCATGGCCGGGCATTTCTTCTCTGAGGCTGCATAGTTCTGCTCCCAGGGCAGCAGTTTCTTGCTCAGGTACCCGCTGGGGTGTCTCCCGCCCTTAGCATCGGCTTGCATTAGCACCGTGCCCAGCCCTGCGTCTGAGGTGTTGGTGAACACTGCAAAAGCCTTGGCAAAGTCTGGGTTTACCAGATTTACCGGGCCCTGGATTAGAGCCTCCTTCAGTATACAGAGAGCCCTCTGGCACTGCTCGGTCCAGACCACCTCGTCTGGCTTACCCCTCTCACCTAGCTCGGGGTGGGGGCAGCTAGGGGGCTAACGTGGGGTACAAACCTCTGGTAGCACCCCGCCATCCTGATAAAGGCCTGGACTTGTTTCTTGGTCTGGGGAATGGGCCAATCTCTGATCATCTCCACCTCCTTCTCGGCTTTTACCGTCAGTCCTGCCTCCTTGAGGCAGCCCAGTCCCCTCTTCACCTGGCACACCTGTTCCTCCCCGGTCTGGCTAAAGACACACACGTCATCGACATACGCCAGGGCCAAGTCCTCCATCCCCCTCAGCTTGTCTAGACTCTCCCCAGGCCTAGGCGTGGGGCGGGCATCGGACACGGTGATGGCTTTAAGCTTCCGATAGTCCCCACAGAACCAGATCATCCCGTCTTCCTTGGGGACCAGCCCCACGGGTGAGGCCCATGGGCTGTTGAACGGCTGGATCCCATCTAAAGCCAGCATGTCCTTGACCTCTCTCTCCAGGTTCTGGGCTGCTTCCCCAGTGACTCTGAATGGGGAACACCTGATGGGGAGATTGGCTCCCACCTCAGGGAAGAGATCCACCAGGGGTCTTCCCCCTTCTCCTCCCATACAGCAGCTCGAAAGGGAAGAACCCTTTGGATTCCTGGGGTACCACCAGCTGCCTCCCGATTCCCCCCAGTTCTACTTCCCCTTGGGGAGCCCATTCCCGGTACAGGAATCCCTTCTCCCACCGGACTCTGTCCTGCAGCCTTCCCCAAGGTGGTTTGCAGCGCTGTGGCCAGCAAGTTCCCTCAGCTTCTCCAAGGAGGGATCCCTCTGCAGCTCGGTCGGGAATTCAGCTGCTGGGGAAGGGAGTGGGACCTGCTCCCGCTTGCTGGCTGGGGCTGGGGTCACAGCCCCCCGAGCCCTGTCCCTGGTAGCTCCGTCCCTGCTGTGTAATCACATCCCAGCAGCACGTCTGGACCAGGCAATCCTGGTTGGCAGCTGACCTGCCCTGCCTGTGTCCCCCCGCTCAGCTGGGGTCTCAGCTCCCACCACACCCAGCACTGTCCTTGTTGTCCCAGTGGGGGCAGGCAGCAATCTCCTTGCTCTGGTGTGCAGGGGGGCAGGGAGTAATTCTCTGACACACTCAGCCCCAGGGGTCTGGTTACAGGTAGGCAGGTATCCTGAGCCCAGCAGCACCTCCCTCCTGCCAGCCAGGTCATTTGCATTTTCACTGACCATTTCCCTCTTAGCCAATTGGTTCCCTGGATTCAAATTCAAATCCTCGGCCGTTACAGGGGCAGGGCCTGGATCTTGTCCCAAGGAGACAGTCACCCCCCAACAGGACCTCACAGCCGAGATCCTGGAGAACCCCAATGGCCAGCCAGCCCGACCCCTCCTGGGTCTGCACAGGGATCCGGCCATAGGCAGGACGAGGGCCTTCATTAGGGTGACCAGATGTCCTGATTTTATAGGGACAGTCCTGATTTGGGGGTCTTTTTCTTATATAGGCTCCTATTACCCCCCCCCCATCCTCTGTCCTGATTTTTCACATTTGCTGTCTGGTCACCCTAGCCTTCATCCCGGGGACCTTCACCCAGGTCACACAGCCCCTCAGCAGCTGCGGCTGCACCACCCAGGGCCTGACAACAGTTCTCTCTGTCCCAGGGTCTCCCCACCCCAGGCAGGTCTCCCCATTGACCCCCACCTTCTGCTCCCACTGGGGGTCCGAGGGGCCTGAGCCCAGGAGACTCCACGCAGACATATAGGCCGGGGCCAGGAGTGGGAGCCTGTCCACCACCCCACCCATCTGGCTGACAGCGTCTATGGCCTTGGGACCCAGCAAGGGGGCTAGAGACTGGGGCTGCTGCTCCCAGAACCTCTTGTAGTCCCGTCTGGGTCAGGAATCCGCTCCTTAGAGCGGTCCTCGTCCTCCAGCTGCTTCACTCACAGGCCCGTGTGCTCTCAGCTCCCCACGGTTTCCAGGAAGAACCCCTAGTGTGCCAACCCTACAGCCTGGACGTAGGTATCTGTGCCCCCCCATGAACCTCCCTGATCCCTTGGGGACCTGTGTATGGGGGGGCGGCCATCCCAGCAGGCTATGGGGCCCTGGTGTGATAACCCCTCCCTGCCCCACAGGGTTCTGTGATCAAAGGGCCACAGATGGGTGACCACAGATCACCCCTTCCTAGACATAGACACCCCCATAAATAACTCCCTCAATACCCCATGAACACCCCCCCCAAAATCCCTTGTAGACATACGGGGACCCTATATAAACAAGTGCACCCCCCCCGATGCTTCCTATAGCTACAGGCACAGACACCCCATAAAAACCCTGGTACAGGCACAGACCCCATGAACAGCCCCTAAAGACACACGTACTAGCAACTTCCCCATAGTCATGCCCCCAGACAGACACACAGCCTATAAATAATCCCATATGCACACCCACCACAGACAGCCCTACAGACCCCCCAAACAGCACCCTAGATACATGCTATAACCCTCCCCCCCCAGACACGCAGACACCCCTGGACCAACACACACACCCGGACACGCTCACACATAAACCAAACCAGTTCACAGGCCGCTTGCTCTGTTGCTGGGCCCCCTGCCCCGTAGCAGCAAAAGGCACCAGACTCAGAGGCAGAGGGGTGGGTGGAAGGGCTGGGAGCACTGTGCGGGTGGGGGGGGGTAGGGTGGGGTGGGGGGCCTCAGGCAGGAAGCATGGCTGGTAGCC